CCCACGTTGCGGAGCCGTGCCAGCACCACCGCCTTGCTCCAGATCCAGGGAGCCAGCTTGCGCGTCACCTGTCCACCGAGACTGCTCGGCCTTGCCACCCAGTCGACCACCAAGCTGCTCGTCCCCGTGTCCAGACCGCGAAAAGGCCCATCGCTAAGGTGACTGCAGGCGCGCCTCTGTGCGGTGTCAGCCGGATGAACACGCGGCCCAGCCGAGCGAGGCTCAACATGGTGAGGGGAACCCGGGCCACCTGAGTTCCTGTCAGCAGTGATCGGAGCAAAGCCTCAGCGGCGTCCTGCAGGAAAGCCCGCTGGGCCGTCGCCGACCAGGGAGCCAATGCGTTGGGGAGGAAATCCCCTGGAACCCTCAGCGGCTGACCGTAGACCATCTCAGCCGTGGAGCACTGCAGATTCTCCTCAGGCCCAGCATCACCCAAGGCAGCTTGTCAACCCAATTACCGTCCATCAGGCCGGCCCTGAGGGTTGCCTTCATGGAGCGATGGAAACGCTCGCAGAGACCGTTAGCCTGAGGGTAATAAGCGGTTGTCCTGTGAAGCTTAACCCCCAAACCCCTTGCCACGGCGTTCCAGAGCTTGGACTTGAACTGCGAACCACGGTCTGAGGAAATGTCTGAAGGGGTGCCAAAACGACACACCCACGTCATAATGAAGGCCCGGGCTATGTCAGCNGAGTGCCGTGCTGAGCAGTGGGGATCGGAGCAAAGGCCTTAGCGGCGTCTTGCAGGAAAGCTCGCTGGGCCGTCGCCGACCAGGGGGCCGATGCGTAAGGGAGGAAATCCCCTGGAACCCTCAGCGGCTGACCGTAGACCAGGGGTGTCAAACTCAAGGCCCGGGGGCCAATTCCGGCCTGCGACTTCATTTGATGTGGCCCGCAAGAGCTTGCAAAGAATATAATACGTTCTTATACGGTTACATGCCACTTTACAGACGACATGTCCCACAATGCATCGCGCCCTGTGACATGCGCACTGAAGAGAGAATTATTTGCCCTGGACTTCTGCTTTCAGACGTATATTACTAAGTTATTACCCTATCCGATAATAATCCAATTCAGAGGCAATAATGTAATATAATACATTATTTTTTTATATATTATATATATGTATATTTATATGGTTACAACCGGCGCTTTGAGTGCAACCATAATACTAATGTGGCCCGCGATAAATTTGAGTTTGACACCCCTGCCGTAGACCATCTCAGCCGTGGAGCACTGCAGATCTTCCTTGGGCGCGGTCCACAGGCCCAGCATAACCCAAGGCAGCTTGTCGACCCAATTACCGTCCATCAGGCCCCGAGCGGTTGTCCGGTGGAGCTTAACCCCCAAACCTCCGGCCACGGAGTTCCAGAGCTCGGACGTGAACTGCGAACCACAGTCTCAGGAAACGTCTAAAGGGGTGCCGAAACGACACACCCATGTCGCAATGAAGGCCTGGGCTATGTCAGCCGCTGCTGTCGACGCGAGTGGGACCGCCTCCGGCCAACAGGTCGTCCTGTCCACCATAGTTAGGAGGTAGGAAAAACCCTGGGAGGGCAATGGACCAAACAGATCGATGTTGACATGGTCAAACCTCCTCTCAGGCACCAGGAATCGCTCCAGGGAGGCCTTTGTGTGGCGGTGCACCTTAGCCCGCTGGCGAGCCACGCACGTGCCGGCCCAAGTCCTCACGTCCTTTTTGAGCCCCCGCCAGACAAGCTTGGCGGCCACCATCCGCACCGAAGGTTTCCCGCCAGGGTGCTACAGGTTGTACACCGCCTCAAACACGGAGCGCCTCCAGCTGGTGGGAACGACTGGACGTGGCTGGCCCGTGGAGACGTCACACAGGAGAGTCGCCGAAAACCACATCCTCCAGGCGCAGCCCCACGGCAGCCCCCTTCAGGGCCTGGACGCTGTGGTCTGTGACCTTGTCCGCTGCTATGCGGGTATAGTCGAGGCCCAACTGGACGGCCCCGATGACGACCCTGGAGAGGCAATCTGCAACAAGGTTTGAGTTGCCAGCCACGTGCTGGATGTCCGTGGTGAACTCCGAGCAGGAAAGCTGTCGTTGCTGGCGAGCAGACCAAGGCTCCGCCACCTTGGACATGGCGAACGTGAGCGGTTTGTGGTCAACGAACGCCGTAAATTCACGGCCTTCCAGCAAAAATCGGAAGTGCCGCACGGCCAGCCAGAGTCCAAGGAGCTCCCGGTCGAAAGCGCTGTACCTGCGTTCCCTGGGCGTCAGCTGGCAGCTGAAAAAGGCGGTGGCTTGCTAGGCCTGCCCTCACCCATTGCCTCATGTCCGACCACACCCGACGGGTAGTCCATGCGTATGAGGATGATTGTTGCCTGGGGTGACGATGCGGCCAACAGGGCTCACCTGAGCCTCAGCGCAGTCTTGACCTCCTAAAGGCAACCTCAGCTCCGCGCGTCCTGCTCCTGATGGTCCTCTGTGTGTTGTCGCATGTTGTACAGCGGCCGCATAATGTGGCGGTCCTGGGGCGCTGAATTACTGTGGCGTGGGTGAATGTCAACATCCTAGGACCCTTCACTGAGCGCGGGCCCGTGCGTTGTTGGTCGAGGAAACCTGCGGCGCCTCACCCTTTTGCTGCCAGGGCGGTCGCCCCTTGGGGCGGGCCCAGTGTGTGTTAGCTCGGAACAGACACTGGCCGAGGGTGTGCAGACCCGTGTTGGTGTCTTGTGAATAGGGGGTTCCGGATGTGTGTCCCTTCAGAAGCCTTGGTGACGGTATGTCGTCCCCCCAGTCGCGACCTGACGGTCCAGGCGCCTGAGCGACCGTAATCAGCGGGTGGCCGTGGCTCGTGCCTGACGCCCAAAACAGCATCAGCACGGGAAGCGTACAACCCGAAATGTGTGTGTGTCACCGCCCGTTTTGGAGGAATGTCGAGGGTGCAGGGCACCGGTCGTAGAAACACGAGCCGACCTGCCGCAGGTTGTTTTGGGTCTGTGTGTGTTCTGTGTGTTGCCGTGTGTGTGTGTGTTGCGCGCCCGTAAATAGTGTCTTTCTTTACTGTCGCTGTCTTTGAGTGGAAACTGTCCATGGTTGTTCCAACTTTCGAGNACCTCACGGAGCGACCGGGCCGCGTGTGGTCGAGGAAACACTGCGACAGCCTCAACCTTTGCTGGCAGGGGTGCTGTCCCGCCCTTGGTGACGCGGTGCCCAAGGAAGTCAATGTCAGACAGCCCGAACAGACACTTTGCAGGGTGGATTATCAACCCGTGTTGGCTGAGTCTTGTGAAAAGGGTCCGGAAGTGGGATAGGTGTTCCTACTCAGAAGTGCTGGTGACGAGTATGTCGTCCAGGTAGACGAACACAAACGGTCAGTCCCGCAGCACCGAATCAGCGGTGCTGCGGCGTTCCTGACCCAAAAGGCATCAGCAGGAACTCAAACAACCCAAATGGCGTTATCACCGCCGTTTTGGGAATGTCCAGGGGATGCATGGGCACCTGCTAGAAAACACGAGCCTACCTGCCAGGTGCGCCGAAAAGTCCTGAATGTGCGACAACCATTAGGCTTGGGGACGATGTGCAGAAGAGACGCCCAAGGACTGTCAGACCGGTGGATGATACCCAGGCGTTCCATGGTTGAGAACTCCGCCTTCGCTACTGCGAGTTTGGAAGGGTTCAACCGCCGGGCCCTGGTGTAGACTGGGGGTCCCTCAGTGGTGACGTGGTGCTCCACCCCATGCTTGGTGGTGGGGGCAGAGTCAGGCAGCGTCAGGTCCGGGAACTCGGCCAACAACCCGAGGTACTTGTCCGCACCTGACAGTGAGCCAGACAGTACGTGCTAACGGTACGCCGCTTTGCCAAGCGTACACACAAGGGAGGAAAACGTCAACACATCAACCAATTGTTTGTTTTTAACGCCCACCAGGAGCCTGTGAGTACATCAAAAATCTGCCCCGAGGAGGGGAAAATAAATATCTGCTGTGAAGAAGTCCCAGTTGAACTGCTGCCCCCGGCCCCAATGCATAAACACATAGGCCTCACTCCATAAGTACGGATGGGGCTGCCATTAGCCGTCGTCAACTGCGGTCCGTGCCCCCCCCAAGCGACGTCCTCCCTCGACGCACGAAACCACGCTCCGTTGAGCGCCCGTCTGACAGAGAAACCAGCTACCCAAGACACTGTCGCTAACGAAGAGAAGCCTGCTCGTGCCACCAACGCTCAGGGCCACTACCGAGCGCTGGCCCTCTCGTTTCTCGGAGGCTTGTAGCTGCAGGGAGCGATGCACTACTTCGCCTTTGCCGATCTCCCGAACCGTGCATGGTAAAAACACTCTCCCGTGTCCCCACGCCGGCCTGGAGCTGCCGTGGTCTCCACCCCCCAAGCCCTCCTAACTGGCGAGGGGGCACTGAGTGTTGCAGCCAGCACATCTGCACCGGGCTGCTGTGTCGCCAGGAAGAAACGGTCAGCCTCCTCAGCCAGGGCGCGGGGTTCAGTAATGGTCGTGTTGGCCAACGCCGTCTGAATCCGGGGCGGCAAGTGGTGCAGGAACTTCTTGCTTTCCCCAAGACCCTGAATCTCAAAAATCTGGCGAGCCCTCTCCTTAGCAGATAAGCTAAATGTCTTAAGGAGAAGGGCTTTAATCGCCTCATATTTGCCCTGGCGTGGGGGATCTGCGATACATCCGACCAACCTGGACGACGTGGAGCTCCCCAG